TTTCTTCCCCCACCGGACCAGGCCTCAAGACAAGATACCCTGCGACAGGGATACAAAGGGGAAGAGTTCCCAGTAGCTTGTGTGCATAATGGCTGTTCAGCATCCTGGATGCAAAATCAGATCCTGCAGAAGCAGTAGCTGGAGTCTGAACAACTAATTCACAAGAGATCTTGGGAATATATTCAGAAAGAATGCAAAGAGATTAACAAGCCTGAGCTTCCCTGCCTTTTCTCTTTGAAAGGGCAAGAGTTCATATCTGCAAGTCCTCCCTAGAATTTCTGGTGCTTCAAGTAAACATGCACTGGGTGACCCTGACCTCCCCAAGAACTGGAAATCACAGCACACCCTCAGATCCTTTATTTGTGTCCTTGGCAAGCATACAGTTGCTGAACTGCCGTGACAGACAAGTTGATGCATTTGCACCACATGAGCCAACACTGCACGATTGAGCAGAACTGGGAAAAGCTTGAGTGAAGTCAAAGGTATTTGTGAAAACAGCTGATGGGCAGATCTGTGTCTGTGCCATGGAAGTATTGTGACGGAGCCAACTGGATCACCGGGAAAGACAGAAACATGACAGTTTCTGCCGTGGTCCCTTCTAGGCTCACAAAGGCTACACCACTGGTAAATTCCTTGTGGAGCTGTTTCTGGCAGCACAAGGACACTCTTAAGTTGTTTCTGGCTGCTCGACTATTAGCATTCATGGCAAGGATGGCAGGAAAGAGTATAACTCACCTCAGCCGATGAGTATCCTGAGGAGGAATATCTGGACATGCCAAAGTCATCATCACTGCAGGGAATGACAATATACAGCAATGAAGGAAACAACAGTTAGAGAGAGCTGTATTCCCTGGTTAGCCCTATCTTTCTTGTGCCATGAAGCTGTACTTCATCCACAGAGAAATTACATCAAGGGAGTCTGGAGAGCAACTTTCATCTGTGATCCTGAGACCTTTCCATCAAAGTGCTCTTTACTCACATCTCTTTTCTACTTGTTTACACACACAGACTTGTTACGGCATATGCTGAAGGGCACAGCAAGGAAGAGTGCGAGTGGCCTGCAAGAGCAGTTTCAGCAGGAATTAGCTTCAGTGCTGCACTATGGCATGAAAACTTGCTTGCACCATAATATATGTATATGTATATATATAAAATCTTATTAACCCTTTGCATACCTGTCCGTATCCAGGGCTACCAGTGGCTTTTCATCTGGACTCTGATCTAATGACGAATAGCCCTTGTTGGGAACGACGAGCCTGAAATAATTAAATGCTGTCCATTAACCACACAGTAAAGCTCAGTACCACACATAGTCTAGAGCAAAGCCATATGATAGTTGGTTTTCCCTGTTTCACTTCCTTGTAAGTCCCCTTATCGGTGAAGACATTTAAATGGGTGCAATTCAGAGGAAGCGGGCTGTGTCTCTAGGTAGTTCAGAGCAGTTTCACAAGGATGAACACTGGACATGCATTGAGAACACACTCCTCCCTGAAAGGAAAAACAATTGGGACACTACACACTTCATTCTGGTGAACCTGATCACTAGCACTGCTTGTTGTATCAGACTTCTCATTTTTGTATTTCTTTTTTTTCCTGTAGCAATGAGTACATGACACTAGCAACAAATAAATGGGAGAAGGAGGCTAGGGGAAGGCAGTGGCTGGGTGCTCCTACTATTCTTCTATTGGAAATCAGGGATTTGGTCTTTCTGCATGAGCTCCTACACAGCCCCCACAACACAGCACTTCTGAGTTCTCACTCCTAAATTTAGAAATATAAGGAATATGAGCTGGTGGGTGCAGCGTAAGAGTCCAGTCAGACTAGAACTTTTAAAATTCTATTATTTTATAGACTTTCACTTCATCAGAAGTATTACAAAGGCTGATGATGACTTTGCACCTTTAATTGCCTGAGAGAGTTTGTGTGTTGGAATACAGGCTTCAGAGCTTTTACAATAAGGAAAATACATTAATTCAATGGTATCCACTTCACAACAGAGTTCTTCCATCCACAAAACTGAACATGAGTAAACAAAACACTACCAGGGGATCTAGGAGAAGAGCACTTTGTGGTGCTATTTAACCGATTAAAAAAATCACTACATCTTTTTCTTGAGAAACGTCTTTTTTCTTAATAACACAGAACTTAAATTTTTCTGCAACACACAAAAACTGTGATAATGTCTTTGCCCCGATCTAAACCTTTTCCTTGCATTCTGATTGTCCTTATGTTTGCTTCCCACTGTCCTTGGAACAAAACCAGATTGCAGTCAGAGCTGCTTTCTTCTGCAGGTGTCCTAGTATGAGCTTCTTGTCTTGGTGGTTTTGATCACTTAACATGAAATATGTTATGACAAAATCTGAGTTTAGGTTATCCTCAGAGCAGGCTACAACATCTGTCTGTGCAGAAGTGGTGCAGATGGTGTTGTGGGCTCTGCCTGTGCTCAGAGTATGAGAAATAAATAATCTGTTTTTATTATAAGCAAATTAATTTAGTGGAAAACAGAAGGGGGTGGGATTTTCTTTTTTTCATTTAATTACAAGGGTTTTATAGGCATATTGTGAAAGCTGTAAGGTGGAAGGTCCTGTCTGGGCCTGATGCCAGGGAACCTTTGCGGCCGGGAATAGGGAAAAGTATAAAAATAAAAATGTACCCTCTGCCACATGGTTTGGCCTTTGTGTGCGGAGAGACCCCTCTGTACAATGTACAGGGGAGGTACATCACGATTCAATCAAGAGGGAGGGTAACACCCCCTCCTGAGTCCGAGAAATTACCTTTTAAGGTAAAATAGCTGACACTCACTGAATATGTAACAGCTTATGTAACCAAGAGAATACAAAAAGGCACGTTTTTCAAACGGTAGGGTGCTTTCTAGGTCCATGTGACTTAGGATTGCACCCAGTGCTGCATTAAGAACTTCTTGCTGCATTTTTCCTTGTCCTGCAGGTTTTTTTGCCGTTTTCTTAAATTGGAAGCAAGGATTTTTCCTACAAGAGTGAGTGTGCCAGTATCACTCCAACCTTGTTCACATATTATTTGCTTTTAGGAAGACTGAGTGTGTTATGAATTCAGAACCTTTTACCTCTAAGGCTGTGCCCCTGCCCCAGGAGGAGATTGAATAGTGAAAGCAACCTGGTACTAGAGGCTGGATGTCAGAAATTCATATAGATAATACAGAAGAACAGAAGCCTTGGGAAAGGAGGAGAAGGTGAAATAGAGACTAGGAGAGGCAATGCAGTTTGCCTGAATGAAGGAAAACATTTGATGAGGAAAAAAGCAGAACTGTTATAAAAGTGGAAATGGCTTTAGCTTATTCTCCTCCTGCAGAGACCAGAGGAAGCCAACAGTTTAGACTTTTAAGAACTACCATAACCTGAATATTTTGCAGTGTATCCCACTGGAATATCTCCCATTGTACTGCAGCCATTATCTTGTGAAAAGAAGTTGCTTGAACAAGCTTGTGGCATTTCTGCCTTCTTGGGGTCGCCCTGTTTATGGCAAGACAGACAAAACCATTCTGAGGTATTACTAGGGCTGTGCTTGTGGTGCTGCTTGGCTCTCAGAAAGCCAGAGGAGCTGGGAGATGAAGAGACATGGGCCAGTGAGACCCTGTGCCAGACACCTCCCAGCTATATGGGAACAATGGCTACATCTATTAAAGCAATGGCTGCAAACCTCTGTTTTGCAGATCCCAAGGGACGGTTCTAAAAGCTGTGTGAAAAATAACTAAGAAAAGCAAGTCTACTGCCAGCAGGGTCCACTTGGCTGTGGAGGCATCCACATGTCCTCTGAACAGTGCTCAAGTGTACACAAATGGACTGAACTGGCTGTTCAAAAGCTTTTGTTGACGGTGCCACTGCTCAGTCCTTCCCCACCCAAATCACTCTTCTTTTCATCAGCATCTCAGAAACAGCAGCCTTTCCAAGCAGAAGTCATTAATTTTACAATAGGCACCTGTACTTCTCTTCCTTACCATCTTCCTCCACTAATTTCAGTGTTTCTAAAATTCTCAAGCAGGAAATCTTCTACCATTCCTCTTGGGAAACTAGCATTCAGCCTATTGCCAAAAGAAACCAATTGTCATAGGTTTTCTTGCTTGTAAAAAAGAAAAAAAACCCTGCTTGGAATTTTTTCCCTTTACCACTTTGAAAGAAAGCTGTTGAGCGAGGGAGGGGGAGGGATGGCTAGAGTGAACACACACACAAAAGGACTGGCTAATGGCCCCACATCCAAGCTAATTGGCCTCAGAAGACTGGGGGGGGAGGTGAGCTTTTTTCCTCGGGAGACGACACTTTTGACTTTTGCCCAGACTCAGGGAAGGGAGTGGTGTGGAGAGGGGTGTTTCTGGGTTCATGTTTTTGTCAGGGGGACTGGCTTCTTCTGGCCCCGAGGGAGGTCCCAGTTCGCCTCTGATTCCTCACGTCCTGCTCTGCCCACTGGCTGGACTTGCCTCGGATTCATCGGAAAGCCGGTGCCATCTGCGGAGAAACCTTTGAGGGGAAAGGCCGCCCCTCCCCTCCTCCTTCCCCATGTCGGCAGCAGTTTGCACCCATCGACGAAAACGGGGATCCCAGCCAGAGCCAGTCTTCGACAGCGGGGAGCTTGTGTCCACTGACGAGGAAGAGGAGTTTCCAGTCACAGCCAGTGACAGCGTGAGTCAACAGGAAGACTACCTTCTCCTCTCCCCTTCGGTTGGGGGGGGGTGGGTCCCATCCGGGTGCTTCCGCGCACTGGTGCTACAGGCAGCGGCTGCTAGAGCCCAACAGCGCCTCCTGCCGACCATCGGAGAGCAACTGCAGCCTCTGCTCCTCCGAAGATCCAGCAGCGCCCCCTGCTGTTCGTGGTTAGAATTGCGCTGAAAGGTGAAAAGTACTTAACTGATTTTGGTGGGAATTTGGGTGCAGGATCGTTGTTTGGTTTTTTTGTTCTTTTGTTCTGTTACCTATACATACATATTCTTTAATAAAGGGTTGTTATTTTTTTTCTTTCTCCACATTTCCTCGACTGGAGCCCCTTAATTTCGGATTTGCAATTGCTCAGAGGGAGGAGCTTGGTCTTCCTTATAACTTGCCCTCCTTAGCAAACACGTTTGTCCCGTTAAACTGAGACACCAATTTTTTCCAGCTTGTATTCAGAAGACAAAGAGAAGCATGGAAAAGCCAGCTGAGAGCATCTGCTCAATTTCTTGATACCACTAAGGGTCTGGCTCCTTTATATGGTCTCAACAACCAAACAGAGCAGTGAACAGTGCAGCGTGTTCCAACAACATCACAGGGGCTTACAAATAAAACTTGACAAAGACCTGGCATGATTTATGACTACTATTGTGGGGTTTGGGAATTAATGAATTAACTTAATATATGGTTATTCAGGGAACTTTATCATTCATCAGTAAACACCCAGAAATCATGCAGATTCTGCTGTTATTCTAAATGAGGTCCTCTGCTAAAAACTGCCACCTTTCTAGTAGCATGCAAAGCATGCAATCCAGTGGACTCAGGGGGGTTCCTCCCTCCTGAATGCAGGTAAATGGTGTACTGAAGCTTGCATGGAAACAGCAGAAACACTGTAAGTATTTAGCCAATAACATCCTTTTTTACAGTGGTTTGTGGCACTGTCTGATACTGTCATACAGAGATGTCCCAAAGCAGCTCCAGCAAAGTATGACCATGCTGTTCCAAGTGAGGAGGAGGTACATAGCAAAGCATACTGAGATGGATTGTCACAAGCCTTTGTTAAATCAATCAGTATGAAGAAGGGGTCATCATCAAAAAGGAACAGGGGAAATACTGTAATAAAAGCAGCCAAAGCAGAACTAAGCTCTAAACCAGTTTGCATTACATGAAGCAGTATCATACACTCTCCTGCTGTCAGGATTAGGTGTTATGTGAGGCTACCCAGAACATGCAAGACAGCCATATCAAACCCCTAATTTCAACCAAGCTGGGCTGCCTCTGCCTGCCTTCAGGCTGCACTGTCACCAGTCCTGATCCCAGATGTCCCTGCATGTCCCCAGGGGATGGGATGCAACACAGCACAGAGCATTTGGGCCTGCCAGCTCTGTTTAGGGCAGACACTGCTCTCATAGTGTGTTTGGCAGTAGGCAAATAGCAATGAACATCATCCTTGCCCATCCTAAGGTCATTAGGGATTGCAGCTTAGAGCACAGATGAGTGCTTTTCCAGTCCTTTACCTTGGTCGTGCCATCACGTTGTTCTTCTTGGGCTGCTGATTAACTGGGCTTCCCATGTTGCCGTTCTTCAGGGAGCCCTTCTGAGCCAGCTCCCTCTGCTTCTCTGCATATGGGATATAAAGGTGTCCTAGTTAGAATGGCTGGGACCAATTCATCACTGGATGGGTGTAACCCAAAACTGTGTATTCTATAGCCTTCCATGCCATTTCCCAGAAACTGTTATCAGTAGAGGCCTGTGAGGTAGGAAGATGTTCCTGTCCTCATACCCTTTTATGGAATTCCCCACTCTGATACCCTTTTATGGAATTCCCCTCTCTGAGGGAAGGACTGAGCACTCCCGCCTGAACTGGAGAATATATAAACTGGGAGTTTCGGAACCTTTCCACCACTCGTGGGATCCAGAGGAAGACTGCAGACCACCGCTCTCAACCAGACTGCAACTCACCGCTCTCAACCAGACTGCAACTCACCGCTCTCAACTGGACTGTAATCACCACTTTCTGACCAGACTGCAGCAGCTCTCCCACCAGCAGGTTTTTCCCCTCTCCCTTTACTTTGGACTCGGGGGGGGCCAAGGAACACCACTTTTTGTTCATACCCCAGAGTACTGGGTTATACATTTGGGTTTTGTGGGTTAAAACCACTTGTCTGTCTGTATAATTGTACTAATTGTATTATTTTAATAAATTGTTATTCTGACTTATAATCTCTCTTTTGAGTTGAGTTCATTTCCCCTGCTGGTTAACTTTTAAACCAGCACAAAAGGGGAAAAGCAGAATTAATAGCAAAGGACATGAGCTCTCCATCTCTCAATAAAGGACACTTCAAAGGCTGGATGAGCTGTGTCCCATTGCCTCCAAGGTCACCAAGGGCTAAAGCTAACTGTGGAGTAATGGATAGGGTTAAAAGTTAAAGGAGAATAAGAATTACAGAGGACAACCAGCTGCTGCCTCCCGGATGGAACATGGTCACAGTGCCCCACAAAGGTTCCCTAAACACCTGTTACAGAGGATGCAATGGAGAGGGGAGTAATGTGAATACACTGCAACCTCCCTCCACAAACATCCTGCAGGAAGGGGAACATGGTGACACTTTGCCTGTGCTGTATCTGTCCACCAAGGAAGATAGATGCCAAGGATAACTACCCAATTAAGTATTAATGACTAGAGTCACTCAAACTCCACCTAAACCTAAAGAAATAGTATAAAAGGAAGTTGGAAATGGGGAGAAATTGAAGGAAGATTTCCACCGAAACTGCTGGGATCAGCTGACAGGCCAAACCTGTCTTCCCCCCCGTCCAGGGATGCCTGTTGGGTGAGAAACTTATGCTATGCACGCTCAATACTGCTTTTAAGGACTAGAGCTTGCTTTTGCTCCATAATAGAAGATTGTTTTGTTTTAGAGTTTGTGCTTGTGCTTACTTTATAGTCTTATTAGATTGCTTTAAATATGTTTTTGCAGTTAGACATTATCACCAACTACCACAAACCTTATTAACTTGTCACAATTTGTATTAATAAAGAGTGTTATTCCATAAACTGTGAGAGTGAGTCCTTAATAAGGTGCTGACAGTTTGCCGGCAGCAGAATAACACGTGGGAAGACCTGCTAAGGGGTCTCCCTTGCGCTGTTGCATGGCAGTCTCCAAAAAAGGGCAACCGAATAATCCCAATTTTGTGAATCTGTCCGGTGAAGAGTTACCTTTGGGAGAAGGGATACCTGACAGACTGGGTCGGACAGACATGGTTTCATTTTCCTTGGAGAACTAACAGACAAATAAATCTCTGTGTGTCAAAAGATCTCCCCTCTCTAAGGGTCAGGCGAATCCCCCCCCCCTTTCATGTGACACTAACATACCCTGACTCACAGTATCTTATTGACAACACACACTAAGATGGTCATAGAGCTTCTTGATGAGAACCAGCTGGGGCAGAGGAGGGGCACAGACTTTGCCTCTATCTGCACCTGGTTGCTGCATGGACTCTAAGACTGTGCTTTGTGCTGGGCAAGGAGATTTAACCTTTTTCTCCTCCTACTGAGGCTGCCACTGAGAGGCCCAGTGGGGATAGAAGAGTGTCTCCATCAAAGCATCATCACCATTTAGTGTTAGCCCAGCCTACCTTGACACTAGGCCTGAGTTATTACAGTTTCCCTGGATGGCAACTCAACAGACTAACACACCCCACAACAGAAAATGTTGTTGACCCTGCTTGTATTCCTAGCAACCTGTGATGTCCCCTGTGTATCTTTCTCTTTTATCTCACGTTGATTCTTGGGAGCTTGCTTTCTTTATAAAAAAAAAAAATAAGTGAAACATTTTGCAGCCGTATTTTTAAATAGTATATTGTTTGCTTAAATTTTCAGAGCTTGTTCTACTTGCTGCTGAAATGTACCTTAAAACTTGGACAGTACATTGAGCTTTCTTTGTGTATTCAGTGCAAGAGGGGATTTAAATTAACTTCTCATTTAGGAGAGACTATTTCTCTTAATTACTTCTCACCGCAGATTCACATATAGAATTCAGATCCAAAAGCTAAGCCTTCTTCAGGTATGCAGTGTTTGTGCTGTATTAATACATTCCTGCCTTCAGTAGGAATAGGAGCCCATGTATGATGGGTTATCATATAAACTGATATTCAATTTCCTGGTTCAAAGTCCTTCCTTGTTTCTTGTGGGAAATCAATTGGGTTGAGTTAGCAATTAGCCACAAAAGTTGAGCTAACTGCCCCAATCTCATCCTGCAATGCCAGGCAAGGTTTGTAGGGAAAAGCCAAGCATGGGGCCAGTAAGGCAAGAAAGGGCCTAGTTACGAACATTCTCCAGAGTGTGAGAAAATGTTGGGAACTATTTTTGCGCCATGCTTGAATAATAGGGATTTACCAGACTGCTGGCTGGGGAAACTGAAAAGTGAATTTGTTTTCCTTCTGCTTGTCCTGTGGTGTGTGAAATGTGCTGATATATTTTATTTTTCTCTTGTGGATTTTATTTCCTTTGTAGAGAAAAGCACCTTTTCCCACTTGTCTTGGGAAAGTAGCATGCCTACCAGGATGTGTAAGTGCAAGATGGGCCAACTCTCTCCTTTCCACACAGGTAAGAGCAGGGGAAGACATGCCCAAGGCCACCTTTTTGAGGATCAATAAACATCAGAGATGCCTAGAGCATCCCAAAGCAATTTAAGTGCAGTAGGAGCATCCATGCCAGCGTCCCCAGCCAAATACCTTAGGTAGGAATCAACAGTTCAGCTTCCTCTTGGATGCTATGAATCCTGAGTCCCTGGTAGCCAAAAACTGAGGGCTAGCAGGAGGAATGGAAGTCTACCTGTACTGGGTTTGCACGGCAAGGTTTTGTTAGCGGAGGGGCTACAGGGGTGGCTTCTCTGAGAAAATTCTCCCATGTCCAACAGAGCCAATGCCACCTGGCTCCAAGATGGACTGGCCGCTGGCCAAGACTGAGCCAATTAGTAAGGGCAGTAACACCTCTGTGATAACATATTTAGGAAGGGAAAAAGTTATTGTGCAGAAGTAATTGCATCCAGAGAAGAGAGGAGTGAGAATATGTGAGAGGAACAATTCTGCAGACACCAAGGACAGTGGAGAAGGAGGGGAAGAAGGTACTCCAGATGCCAGAGCTGAGATTCCCCTGCAACCTGTAGTGAAGCCCATGGTGAAGCAGGCTGTCCCCCTGCAGCCCATTGGGGTCCACAGGGGTGCAGAGATCTACCTGCAGCCCATGGAGGAGACTCACACCAGAGCAGGTGGATGCCCGAAAGAAGGCTGTTGACCCCATGGGAAGTCTGTGCTGGAACAGGCTCTTGGCAGGACTGTCTCCTGGAGGAGGGACCCTACGCTGGAGCAGGGGAAAGACTCCTTTCCCTGAAGAGGAAGCAGCAGCAGAAACAACATGTGATGAACTGACCATAACCCCCATTCCCTGTCTCCTTGCACCGCTGGGGGGAGGAGGTAGAGAATCGGGAATAAAGTTCAGTCCTGAAAGGAGGGCTTGTTTTACTTCTCATTATCCTACTCTGATTTTGATTGGTAATAAATTAAATTATTTTCCCAAGTCAGGTTTGTTTTCTTTGAGATGGCAATTGGTGAGTGACCCTCCCTGTCCTTATCTCAACTCATGAGCCTTTTGTTATATTTTCTCTCCCCTGTCCAGTTGAGGAGGGGAGTGATAGAGACCCTGGCACCTGGCATCCAGTCAGGGTCAAACCACTACAGCTCTGGGGTGTTGGGACAAGCTTCTAGAAGGTGGTAGAGAGGCATGAGAGTCACTTCAGGCTTTGAGGCAAGGAAACCCGCCTTCTGAGCCTTACAAGTGTTATGAACCACAACTACTTCCACCATCACCCAAAGGAGCTGTTTGGGTGACCATCTCCTGAAGTAATTCTGGACTATAAAATCCATCACATCAGATCCATCAGTGCCCATTTTGTGCTCAGTGCTTCCTCCTGGCATAGCAGGTGGAGTTTGTGAACTCCATTTCTAGGTAGTAAGCTCTTTCCCCGGCTTCCAGCTCTTTTGGTTTTGACCCCTAGACGTTCCTTGAAAGCCAGGGCCCCAAACTCTAAATACCTAAGTTCCTTCCTAGAAATGTGACAGATTTAGGCACTTCTGAAGATGTCACTTTTGGGCTCTGACATTTTTAAAAAAAATCTGTGATTTCACAAGTATTTCTCATAGAAGCTGCAATCAAACACATAAACCAGCACAGTAAAGAGGTGAGAGAAGGAACTACAACCTAGCCTTGATAAGTAAGTGGCATTTTTCTTTGAAGTTTGCCCCATATTGGCTGATGATACACCAAAATGATCATGAATCCCAAGATCACAACCCTTCACTGACCCAACTGTGCTAACTGTTGTGTGAAACATGGGAACTATGCACCTGGGGAATTCTCAGGGCATGAAAAACGAAGATGCTCTTTCCTTCTGAGTCATTCCAGACTCTACAGTATGGTAGTCAAGTATTCCTCACCAGACTTAGATGAGACCAGAGTTCCCACATGTCTTTCCCAGCCTCAAGGCCACTGCTTGTTGGGGGCCTGGCCCCATTAGAGAGGATAGACATTGTCCTCAGCACTTGGCAGTTTCTGCCTCTGG